TGCCAAGAATATTATTCAAAGTTACAGTAACTTCCAGAATCTAGTAAGATAAGGAAAAACAGCCCGATAAGAAAAAATGAAAAAAGGATATGAACAGATAATTCATTATAAGTTAAAATATACATTAACAAGAAAAAGTATTCAATATTTTTGGTAATTTGGGAAATGTAATTTAAAAAATAATGTTTTCCTTGTGCATTGGAGTGGCAAAATTAACAAGATTTATTCTCTTAAATGTTGGCCAAGTTAAAGGGAAATAGACAGTTTCACACACTAATGGAAGAAGTATAAATTTTAAAAGCAAGCCACAGAAAATTTTGTGTAATGTGACTACATTTATGTTTACAATGAGAGCATCTAACCCCTGAGAAGGTCTAGAATTTATGACACTTCAGTAGCAATGGGCATGCTTAGTGCCTGCATCTTGGTTTTTAATACGTTTCTTCACTAAAGGAAACCAGGACTCTTTGGAGAAATGGCTGATTCCAGGGCTGGGACAAGGGAAGTACAAGACGAGTCTTCAAGATTTTGTGCCAGGAAGAGAAGTCCTCAAAGAATGATGGGCAAATGTCAAAAGGACACAAAATCCAGTTTGAAGGGACTCCCACTGGCCAAATCCAGGATAATCTGAGCAATAAAATGCATAATGTGAGTAACGGACTCTAATCTATTGAATAAAGCAAGAATTCATTAGTCTATCGATGTAAATCAAAAAATAAATGAGAAAGAAAGGCTTTTCCTTGCAGTACAATTCCAACTAATAAACATAGAAGGAACTATGAAATTAGAAAACCATCATCTGCCAACTATTGTAATAATTGATTCAGGTAAGAAACATCAATGGATTCTGAAACTAGTGAGTAATTGTATAAGAAGTAACAGTATATTTACATAGTCTCAAATTCTCTTCCTTTGAGACACAGATTAACTACAGAGGGAAAAATGGTAACTTTTTAATGAGATAGACACCACCTTAATTCAAGCAATCAAAGTTAACAGGGCCAGTGAATGGGCTATTCACAGCATATGCCTGAGGGGACACAACAAGAAGGCTGCTGCATCCGTTGAGCACAGTGGCTCATGCCTGTAAACTCAGCACTGTGGTAGGCCAAAGCAGGTGAATCGCGAGACTAGGAGTCTGAGACCAGCCTGGGCAACACAGTGTGAGATCCTGTCCCTATAAAATATTTAAAAATTAACCGGGTTCAGCCCTGTGCTACTCCTGCCAGAAGTGCATAACCTGAATCTAATCATAAGGAAACCACAGGAAACCCAATTGAGGGCATTATCTTAAAAAGTCAGTAGTCAGCTGGGCATGATGGCTCACGTCTGTAATCCCAACACGTTGGGAGGCCGAGGCGGGAGGATCACAAGGTCAGGAGTTCAAAACCATCCTGGCCAACATGGTGAAACCCCATCTCTAAAAAAAAAAAAAAGAAAAGAAGGAAAGAAAAAAGTCAGTAAACTTCAAATATGTCAATGCTGTGAAATACAAAAGAAAAACTTGATAACTCTTTCAGATTAAAGGAGATTATAGAGACAGAAAAACTTAATGCAAAACAGATGTCTAGGATTTTCTTTTGCTATAAAGGACATATCGAAGCAACTAACAAAATATAAATAAGACCTGTACACTAAATAGTGTTATATCAACATTAATTTCCTGATTTTTTTTTGAGAGTCTCATTCTTTTGCCCAGGCTACAGTGCAGTGGTGCAATCTTGGCTCACTGCAACCTCCACCTCCTGAATTCAGGAGATTCTCATGCCTCAGCCTCCCAAGTAGCTAGGACTACAGGCACACGCTACCATGTCCAGGTAATTTTTCTTTTTCTTTTCTTTTCTTTTTTTTTTTTTTTTTTTTGAGACAGGGTCTGTCTCACTCTGTCACCCAGGCTGGAGTGCGGTGGCACAATCTCCACTCACCGCAACCTCTGCCTTCCAGGTTCAAGTGATTCTCATGCCTCGGCCTCTCAAGTAGCTGGGATTACAGGTGCCTGCCATGACACGTGGCTAATTTTTGTATTTTCAGTAGAGACAGTGTTTCACCATGTTGGTCAGCTGGTTTCCAACTCCTAACATCAAGTGATCCGCCCGTCTCAGCCTCCCAAAGTGCTAAAATTACAGGCGTGAGCCACCGCTCCGGCCTAATTTTTGTATTTTTAGTAGAGGCAAAATTCTGTCATGTTGGCCAGGCTGGTCTCAAACTGCTGGCCTCAAGTGATCCTCCCATCTTGGCCTCCCAAAGTAGTAGGATTACAGGCAGGAGCCAGTGCACCCGGCCATGATTTTTAATAACTGTACTGTTATTATGAACGTCATATGTACTGTCTATGAATGTTATTTTTTGGGAAATACATAGTGAAGTATTTAGAGGTAAAAGGGTAACTTTTGCCTCTAGATACTTTAAGTCTACAACTTACTATTAAGTAGTTCAGAAAATAGGTAATAACACATAGGAATATAAAGCAATGTCACAGAATGTCCACATTTAGAGAATCTGAGAAACCTTTGGCTTATTCTTGAAACTTTTCTGCAAGTCTGAAACTATATCTAAATATTTTTTAAAATTAGAGAACGTGTGCATGCGAATAGAAATGTAGGTAAATTCCCTGGGATTAGCTTCATGATGGCATTTTCCTTAAACACAGGGATGAAATGACGCAAGCCTGCATGGGCATTAATATTGGTCTTCTCAAAATGTTTTCCTCACAGAGCTTCTGTTTTAGAATACTGGGGGGAAAAAAAAAAAGCCATTTTGAAGGCTCGCTCAAGACCAGCTCATTAATCAAGTTCTACAGAAGCGCCAACATAATCAAGCCCTTTTCACTGCAGATTTGTGCTATTTTTTTCTCAGTGAAAGTCAAAGCCTCCTGACACCATGAGTAGTTGATGATGTCGTGGCAACTTTTCTGGAATACTAAGCTAAAAAACAGCTTTTCATTTAAAAACGATAAAGGGATGAAACAGTCTTGGTGGAAAGCCTCAGCCTCCACTCTGACTCATTGAATTCTTGAGATGTTAAGTCCTGGGCTGGGGATCAGTGGGTCAGTTGGTCCCACACTGCCTTCAAGTCCATTCCTGCGAGCATTTGAAGAGATGCTGGCTGAGAACGCTCCCTAATAAGCAGGCAGCAAATTAAAGAGACTTGCAGGGTTGATGGTTCTTTGTCATACACATCTCATCTTTCTAGTGCGCTACACTTTACAAAAAGCTCTTGTGTATTATTTTGTTTCATCCTTTCCTTGAAGTGATTTAAAAAAACAAAAACCCTAAAATTCAGTTTAACAGCAATACTACAAAATATCCAGTTTTAAAAACTGGGATGCACTATAACATCTGCCCTTGGCTCTGATCTAGTTGGAAACAGGACTTACCCAAGCAGATAAACACCCTGTTACAGAATACACTAAATGAAAAAAGTAGCTACATGAGTAAGGTGGTTAGGTAAATAATTCTATAAGGAGCTCAGTAGAAATACAATGTTCTTTTCTCTTTGAATTTGTCCACATCCATTTCTTTAAGCCTTATCTTCAAGGTAAACTCTACCAAGTAGCTCTGGTTTCACTGGCGTGTTTACAAGACATCACAGGGAATGAAGGAAGAGGCCTGTTCACACGCAACGCTACCCCTGGGGCAGACAGCATCAAGAGGTCTCCTGGCACCGTTGCTCCAAAAGACCAACCACACTGACCTTCTCACGTGCGCCCCATCATTCATGTTTCTTCAAAAAAAACAGTAAATTAGCAGTCCACACTTCAGCAAAGAACCCCCAAAACAAAGGCCCTAGCCTATATTCAAAAACAAAATTTCCCTTAAAGAAAGCATGTTTTCAACCAAAGAAAAATTAGGCTCAACCGATAGCAAACAATTCTACATGCACTGGCCAATCCCACAGCACCTACATTCCAAAACAAACTCAGGCTCTGCTCTCACCTTTTAGAGATAAGAACCAGAGTTAGCAAGCATCGGAACCATGATTCACACCGAAGTCAACCCACTCTCTCCTCAATCCCACTGGCTTCCCCATGGTCCACACAACCCACTGGGAACAGATGAACCCGTCAGAATTTCTCTTCAACACCCAAATCTACCCCACCCCCATTCCCTTGGTTTAAATGCCCTGGGGGCAGGTGACAAATCAAATTCCATTCTTAGGCAGCTTCCCAACAGAAGACACATTCAGTGGCAAAGCAAAAGAGGAGAAAATGGGTTCTAATACCTATAGGTCTATCTTACCCAGAGGAACGTTTTCATGGTCCGGCATTATGGATGAACTCAGGGCAGGAAGAACCCATCATTATGTAATGTCAGGGGGCAGGCGACAGGCGGAGGGAGGCGAGCCCATCAACACTCCCTTCCTTTGCCCACAAAGACACAAATTTACCTCTGACATTTCGAATGTCTGTCTTCTGGGGCCTACCCATTCCTGGCTGGCTTTTCAAGAGACAGCCACAGATCCCTGCATATTTCTCAGGCCTCAATTAATGGACAACAAAGCCAGAAAGAAATAAAATATAGAAAGCAAAGATGCTAGAAATGTTGTCGAGGTCTAAGGGCGTGCAGAAAAGGGAAGAGTTTCGAGGATGGAGACCAGATTTCCTACACGGAGATGCATGCTTACTTTTACCCGGTTATGTTTACACCTAAAACACCGCAAGGCCTCCGGCGTCAAGAGCCCGTAGACCCAGCCCTGGAGCCGCACAGGGCAGGCGCTGCGACTGCATCCCGCGGACCCACGCCGGCTCGGTACCCGGCCCCCTGCCGGGGCGGCCAGGTCCTCACAGGGCTCGGGGTCGGCCGGGTTCGAATTGTTCTCAAAAGACGCCACCGCAGGTAGACCACTGGCACCGCTAAGCCGTGCAATTTCCATGACAACCGCGGGCGCCGTCCCCGTCCGGCCCAGCGGGGACCAGGACGCGCCCCCCACGCCTGTTGTCCGTCCCTGGCCCCGGCTTCCGCGGCGGCCGCGTAGCCTCCGGCCCGGCCCGACCCACGTACCTGGCGCTTCCCGGCCCCCGGCGCCAGTCGCTCCGCCGTCCCGCCGGGCCAAGTGCTGGAGCCCCGCAGCAGCAGTGCTGCTGCCTGGTAGTGAAGTCACGGGCTGCGGCCCCGACCTCAAGTGCTGGTCCTCCCGCCCGGGCCCGAAGAACCTGACCCGGCCGCGAACCACCCGCGCGCGCCGCAGACCTAGCCAGCCGCCGCCGCTCTAGACGCCGGGCGCAGCCCCGCCCAGGCCCCGCCCCCTCACCGCGCACGCGCGCTGAGGCGCGGCCCGCGCCTTGCGACCCCCGCCCCGGGAGCGGCCAGAGCTGGGTCGGCCTCCCGAGGCAGAGGGGCCGGTGACCTAGCTACCCGCGCCGATTCCTACTTCTGGGTTCCCAGAAGATCCCACCCTATCCTGTGACTGCTTCACTTGCAAGGAGTTCTTGAACTTCTGGACTTGACTGAGCGACTGCATCTTCACCCTGTCATTCACTGCTTCTGAAGCCCTGACGGATCCCCAAGGGAAGGTTTCCTGGAGGAGCTGCGACCCGGGGGCGCGCCCCCAACCTTTTGCCCACCGGACAAGAGCACTTCCTGAAGTGCAGACTTACTCCCCAGGAGATGTTTAGGAAATCGAACATTCCAACCAGACACAAGCAAAATATTAAAATCTTAATACTTTGAAAATACAGACTTGCAAAAAGAAGAGGATTGCTAACCTCTGAGTTTATGTCCTTCCAGACCTATTCTGGCCTGTGTCCATAAGTGTGCACTAACAGACTTACAGCAAACATCAGTCCTTACACTTTGCTCCCAAATTTCCATTTTTCTATAGAGAAAAAGAGTAATCAGAAGTTTTGGAAGAAATTTTTCGCTTTCATTTGACTTTAAAACAACATTTCGGTCGGGTGCGGTGGCTCACGCCTGTAATCTCAACACTTTGGGAGTCCGAGGAGGGCAGATCACCTAAGATCAGGAGTTCAAGACCAGCCTGACCAACATGGAGAAACCCCGTCTCTACTAAAAATACAAAATTAGCCAGGCATTGTAGCACACGCCTGTAATCCCAGCTACTTGGGAGGCTGAGGCAGAATTACTTAAACCCGGGAGGCGGAGGTTGCAGTGAGCCAAGATCGTGCCATTGCACTCCAGCCTGGGCAACGAGAGCGAAACTCCGTCTCAGAAAAAAAAAAAAAAAAAAATTATCCCTAAGCAAGGGTAAATACTGAACTGAACGTATCCTTATCTTTGAGTTTCAACATTTTATCCGAAAAAAATATTCTTAGAACTATTTTAATTCAATAAACCATAATACTTCTCAGGCAGAGCATTTATACATAAAGTTTGCTTCAAAAAGAAAAGAGATTGGCCGGATGTGGTGGCTCATGCCTGTTATCCCAGCATTTTGGAAGGCTAGGGTGGGCGGATCACGAGGTCCGGAGATCGAGACCATCCTGGTCAACATGGTGAAACCTTGTCTCGAAAAAGAGAAAGAAAGAGATTAACCAGTTAGGAAGGGAAATTAAACAAGTATTCTCTGATATCATTTAGAATTAGGTCTGATTCTCCTCAGGTACCAAAAACCAAATACAGACAATAGTCTGGAATAAAACAAATGTAAAACCAGTTTTTTGGGGAGCCTGAGGCAGGAGCATCAGTTGGGCAGAGGAGTTTGAGGCTACAGTGCCAACCTGAGAGACAGAACAACACCTTGTCTGAAAGACAGAGAGAGAGAGGGAGGGAGGGAGGGAGGGAGGGAGGGAAGGAAGGAAGGAAGGAAGGAAGGAAGGAAGGAAGGAAGGAAAAAAAAGAAAGAAAAGATAGATGCCCTAGTTTTAAATTTTTATTTCTTTTCTGATGTTTTATTTCTCTTCTGAAAAGTAACTTAGTAATAAAACAGTTCCTTCTTATTGTTTCTGCAGCTAAGTGGAAGGAAATATTGACAGAACCTTGACTCCACAGTACAAAGTTAAAGCCAAGAAAATCAAATTTGTAGAAATGCAAAAATACTTTTATATTTTATTTTTTTAATTACTGTGACCAATTAGTTTGCTTGGAACAGCCCCAGTTTACATATTTTTGCCAGCAAAATTATTAATAGAATCCTGTTTCACTCTCAAAAGCATTCTGTTCAAACAATAAATTTTATGGCCATGCTATTGGTAATCAAGCTAAGAGAGTTGTTAAACACTAACTTTTAAAAAAGAAAAAAAGTTAAATTTGTAAAGATTTAAAAATAGACATCAGTCTAATTTCAGTATTCATTTAATACAGTAACACCCTGAAAGAGGATCAGCTTCCAATAACATTTGTCACTTGACTGTTATGTAATTATGGATAATCTTCAAAGATCAATCATGTTTTCAGTGTGGCAAAGAATGAGGCCCTAATTCCACTGTAGAATGAAAATTATCAAGGGAAAAGGGTGCCCTGTGTTAGTTAATACTGTAAAAGGAAAATAAAATTAATCTTGGGACCCCCAAACTCACTACTCCAAAGGAAAAAGCTAAGCTTGGGAACTGAATCATACAAAAAAAACTGCCTTTCTTTTGTTCCTAAAGAGACAGCTGCAAGATAGAAGGCCACATATATCCCCAGGTGACCTCCCTCACCCTGACAATGTAAATTAACAGCTTATCTTCACAGGAATGGGACAAAGACAAGACAAGAATCCTTCCACGCACCCCAAGACAAATGTATATTTGACCTCTTCCAATACTCTCTGTATATTTATCTTACATAAAATGCATAACTCACTGTTCCTCTTTCCCCTCCTGCCCATTCTTTCCTCTTTAAATACTGAAGTTTCCAAAACCCTCTTGGGAAAAAGCACAGGCCACAGATCCTACTGTAGTTTGTGTCTCTTTTTCCCAGTTGCATCCTCAACCTTGGCAAAATTGACTGAGATCTGTCTCAGACACTTTTTAATTTACAATACGATGCTGTATCTTCCCTAAGCATCACAGCAATAGAAGTATGCTGGTGGTAAAGTATCCCAGTCCTTCAGAAGTTCTCAACATGGGGTCCCTAACCAGTAGCATCAGCATCCTCTCAGAATTTTCAAGAAATGCAAATTCCCAGATCCTACCCCAGATCTACTGAATCAGGAACTCTAAAAGTGTGGCCAAATTACCTGTATTTTAACAAGCCCTCCAAGGGATTCTAATGAACATACTGATTTAAATGATCTATACACAGGAAGTAAGCTGATTTAGATTATCTATGCACAATAATTAAGAGGTGAGCAGTATTATTTTCAGGACTAGAACCACCCTATTTGAGAATTTTTCTTCAGGCCATTTAACATGATATTTTTGTAGGCATACAGTCAGCTCTCCATATCTGTGGTTTCCACATCCATGTATTCAACCAAACCACAGATCAAAAATATCTGGGAAGCCCGGGCGCGGTGGCTCAAGCCTGTAATCCCAGCACTTTGGGAGGCTGAGGCGGGTGGATCACGAGGTCAAGAGATCAAGACCATCCTGGTCAACATGATGAAACCCCGTCTCTACTAAAACTACAAAAAATTAGCTGGGCATGGTGGCGCGTGCCTGTATTCCCAGCTACTCAGGAGGCTGAGGCAGGAGAATTGCCTGAACCCAGGAGGCGGAGGTTGCAGTGAGCCGAGATCGCGCCATTGCACTCCAGCCTGGGTAACAAGAGCGAAACTCCGTCTCAAAAAAAAAAAAAAATATCTGGGAAAAAAAAATTGCATGTGTACCAAACTTGTACAGACTTTTTTTCTTGTCATTATTCCTTAAACAATAGAGTATAACAACAATTTACATAACATTTACATTGTATTAAGTACTATAAGTAACCTAGAGATGACTGAAAGTATACATCTGCATACATTATATGAAAAAACTACACCATTTTTTATATAAGGGACTTGAGCATCCATGGATTTTAGTATCCACCAGACGTCCTGGAACCAACTCTCCATGGATACTGAGGGATGACTACACAGAATATGTGTAACCTTGAGGCCAGGCACAGTGGCTCACACCTGTAATCTCAGCACTTTGGGAGGCTGAGGTGGGAGGATCACTTAAGGTCAGGAGTTTGAGACCAGCCTTGCCAACATGATGAAACCCGTCTCTGCTAAAAATACAAATATTAGCTGGGCATGGTAGCATGTGCCTGTAATCCCACCTACTCAGGAGGTTAAAGCTTAAGAATCACTTGAACCCAGGAGGCAGAGGTTGCAGTGAGCTGAGATGGCACCACTGCACTCCAGCCTGGGCAACAGAGTGAGACCCTGTCTCAACAAAAAAAAAAAAAAAAAAAGAAGAAGAAGAAGAAAGAATATGTGTAACCTTGAAAACCAACAGCCCCGTAGCCATAGCAGCCACTGGAGGGGCAAAAAGGATATGGAGCACCTGAAAGAGCCCCATCCCCAGAGTCTTGTCACTATTTGACTCGTCTGGCAACTTCCCGGAAAAGCTGCACTCCCAGGGTCTGTCTTTAATTGGCACAACTCAGAGCTTGCCCTGTGCAAATGGCCCTCTCCTCAGGGCATTGTTGAAAACAATCGGTAACAACCGTTTAACATTACAGCAGCCTCACTTAGTGACACCAGTTAGAGCTAACAATAGGCTGACTGAAAAACTTGAAAAAGAAAAATGAAGAATGAGATGTCCATGGGGAGGGGGCATTAAAAAGATTTAACATTCACTTCATCCACTTGATTGTTCAGGAAAAATAAAGATAGATATATATATAAAGATTTAACATAAGTTGCCTGGCAGCACATGCCTATAGTCCCAGCTAAGGAGGCTGAGGTATAAGGATCATTCGAGCCCAGGAGTTTGAGGCTATAGTGTGTTATGATTGCACCTGTGAATAGCCACTGGACTTCAGCTTGGACAACATAGCAAGATCTCATCTAACAGAAAAAAAAAGATTAACATGTTTCTGGAAATCTGAGAAGGCCCAAGTTTTACTTCTGGCTAATCTTGAGTATTTGAGCAAGCAGGATGTGAAGGCTGAGACAAAGTTGTGAACTGTCTGCCTGAAAATTGAAGGCATGCATTAATATGCACACATAGCCTTGCCACAAACAAAGGAAGATAGAAATCTTTGATGCTAGCATTGGAGGAATGCTAGAGCATTCCTCTCATCGTTAGTGAACAATTAAGCTGACTACAAATGGCTACAGTGACATATCAGTGACTACAAATGACAAAGAATACAGACTTCACAAAATTAGTCCAAGAAAGGCAC